TCCCTATATACCAAGTTTAAATAAACATCTCTTCTTTTAGTTTATAATCGGAACCATAAAAGCATAAAAAGCATTACTATAACGCAAATGATTGTACTACAAGGGTATAACTACGACTAGCGTGCATGTCACATAGTTAAATGAAAAAGGAAAAAATAATAGCAATTACGAATAGAGTTGTATTATCAAGGAACGATGCAGAGTTCTGTGGATTATCATCGTTGCCACATCCACCAGCTATGTTCTCTCTGATATGCGAATCGGGAGCAAAAGTGTACGATCATCGAAAGGAACAGGATAATTTAGGATTCAATCGTACCAGACCTGAATCAAGTTAAAACAGATCGACTTATTTATGTCCATCGTGGGTTATGTGATACGTTTGCGACAAGTAGTTTACTGTAGGGACTTGTACTACAGGATCATCAGTCAAACGAGGGAGAGAAATATGGTGGTGATTTGAGGCATAAGAGCCATTGACACTGTTCAGTGGTCGACTCAGCTAATGTCCTTTTATAACGATCTTGAATTTTGTTAACCTCAACCTCGACTATGACGCGATCATCATTTTCAAATGCAACAGCAAAAAAGAAATCATCAGAAAATAGAGATGTTATTATTCATTAATTTAAACATTTAGTCATGTTATTAATTTACAATAAGCTAGCATCTTTATATTTATTTCTAAAAGTAACAGTAAATACACACAATACGAAAGTGCTGTGTCTCAGATGAATACACAATATCTTAATCATCATCGCATTCTTGCTGTTGCAGTACATTCTTAGTGTATTGTTTCTCGTGTATGACATGGTTTAGTATTTTGATAAATCTGTTTGTTAATATCTGATGACAATTTATCAAACCGTTTAACAAAAAAGCTTTGACCAATTCACCCTCACTACACAAAAAAGAAATAAGAAAAAGATAGAAAAAAGGGAAATGATTTGAGAAAAAAGGTTTGGAACAACCGAAAAGGAAGTCTGTCTGTTGTTTTTTTGGTGTATTTAATTTAATTGTCTCGTTTAATCTGATAATCCGCAACGTGCTCGACAACTAGCTACAGTTTGTAATGGTGCAGCAGGTAGATGATCTCTTAATGATGTTGCTTGAGCTGTTGTTATATTTAAACTGGCAGCAATAAGATCAATTGGTAATTGAAAGAATGTTGATGATCCAGAATTTAGGCCTATAAATAAAGGAGGAAGATGATGTAAGAAAAGGATGAGCACAAAATAGATAATATCGCTTCTTGCATTATCCTTTTCAAGAAGGTGGTGACGCATTACACCTTATATATATATTGATGTTGCACCCACTCTGTCTTACAGTTTCGAGACATATACAGCTTTGCCGACGGCGGGCGCTTTTCGAGTTTTCCAGGTGATCAATGTGTTAGAGATATCTAAAAGTGTTTTGCAGACAACAGACTGTTTCGGCCTTCTAGTATCTGACTCCTCTATTTTCCCCCCAAAGAAATACGAAAAACTTTCAATCAAAACAAAAATTCTTGTATTCGTGTTATTATTGCTATACAAGTGTTTTCAATACTTACTCCACTTTCCCTGAAGAAACCACCAAGGAGTCACTGAAAAAACTTTCTGGTCAGTCCGTTTAGTGACTCCTCAAGGATTTTTGAAAACTTTCTCGGGACCCGCCAGGGAGGACTTTCAAGGGAGTCTTCGAAAAATTCCCAAGAAGTCTCAAGAAATGAAGAACTGAAAAACTTTTTTGTTAAGCGATCAAGCTCGATCTTTCAAATGTCCTTAAAAGAGTGAAAACTGAGTAGTGTAGTATTTCGTTTAAATTTTTCTTAAAACTAAACTTTTCGAAGAATTTGCTTTGATCTAGCTTTAAAGCGCTTTCAAATCTCTTTCGGATGCAGGGTTTTTGAAGTCTCTGCGCCTTTTTATTAAAAAGTTATTGACGTTTTTCTAAAACCGAGACGCTGTTACACTCCAGCAGCAGAGTTACGTGGACAAGTGGTCCGATTAACCCTTGTACGTATGCCAATAGAAATAACATTTTTAAAAAGGACAGGCTTACCGGGATCAACACTATTAAAACCCGCAACAAATACAGCTTGTTTACAACTTAAATTTTGTTCAAAATGTAATGCACCCTGTGGAAATACAGTTCCCTGATATTGTTTTAATGGTGTTACTACAAATTTTCCTGTGTGTTCATTATAAAAACCAGTTCGAACATTATCGCCTTGAGTAACAACAAACATCGATGTAGCACGCGGATGTACATGTGGTAAGATAAATCCACATGGTTTTAGAAAGCCAACGATCAGTGCAGTGCCTTGTGCAGTTAAAGCCGGAAAATCATCGATCTATAAGACAAAAATAAAACAAAGGGAAGAAAAGAACAAAAAACATTTAGGGAAGGAACTACTGTACTTACCGATGCTTGAATTGCTTTTCCGCCAGGTCCAGCAACAACACCGTTCGTTGATGTAAAGTCAAATTTATATACGTCTGGACCAGTGCCTAAGTCACTTAATCTTTGTGATTCTGTTGGATCAGATTTTAAATTTCGTAATTTTTGTATTGAAACAAGCGGTGCACTAAAAATTGTTGTTATTGATAATAACAGAATCGCTACTATGGCCAATGTTTTCACCATCATTATCATTGAAATACTTGAAATATTTGACCTAACTCGTTAGATCTAAAATTAAGAACTGGACGAGATCTTCCACTAGAGACCAAATTCAAAGTTATACGTTAGGTCTTTCGGCCTGTAAAGACGAAAAATTCGCTCTTTCGCTGCAGGAGTAAAATGTAAATAACTTTTTCCCGCAATAGCTAGAGATCGACGGCGGTTTTCACCATTCATCTCAGTTCACCGAGATCTACAAAATGAGGTACATCTCGCCATTTGCGCCGGAGATCAATGTAATTGTAATTGGCAATTATTTCTGTCATATTGACCTAAGGGACACCTGATTTGATCTGAAAATTTGGATGTTCTTTCTGCTCGTGGAAGTATTGTTGAAAAAATTTTTTCTGGAAAGGAAAAAACTGCCGATCAGGACTCATTAAATTTTTATTTTTAATCAGTTTTCATTCATTTTATCTAAATAAAATTTTAGCAAAATCCCGCTGCGGCTTAAAGTAAACCTAGACTTGTGTGTTTTTTGACCTGGTAGCCTGCGCTGGTTGAGTAAGTACCGAACAAATTTTTACCAATTTTAGATGCAGAATATTATTCTATTTATTTCACTTGTCAACAATAAACTTCGATATTTAGTAGGAGAATACTATAGCTTATTTTCATATTTGGCACATTATGATACCGAAGTATCCGAAAAATAACGAGTCCAGAGCTGAAACTGACAGATTATTAGTCAGTTCACTTTTCTCTACAACATGTGTAAAAACTAGGGAAATATGAGATTTTTTGCTATGGAGCAAAGTCTCAAACATTCACTGCTTAAGGCACAAAAATCGACTGTATTCAATATCTGGACTAAACATGCACTTTCTGGCGGGCTGTCTTTTCTCAAAAAAGCCGATCGCCGATCAGTGTGCTTCCAAAGGAAATGAAATAAATTTATATTACAAAATCAGAATATTTTTTCAATATGGTAAGGATTTGCCGTTTTTACTTACTACGTATAAATAAGGTAAGGTAAAAATTGCTCTCAATGTGTGCTAGAATGTTATTATTTGACTTATGTATGTTATTTAAAGACATCTGTTCCGAAAACAAGTACTCCACAAAATATCGATAACGGTAGCAAGTACTTCGGCGGCTCAATCAAAAAATCCAAGAGACACCACCATAACGAAAAAATCTCCAACGCCTCCGCTTGTAACGTACTGTAAAACAATGAAGCTCGATGTCGAAATATGATAAAAATAGAAAGACATTACTTTCTTTAAAAAATAATGAACTATAGACAATCATCATCCAATACGATTTTAACTAGGTGTATGTTTGTACATTATACATATGATTAAGACTTAAGAGGGAACCGCCCGAAGTGATTAACCGCTTTTGAGCTCCTACGTTGAGCATATAGAGGAGACTAGACCGAATCTAAACGGATTTCGGGCCGATAGCCTTTCTGTCCTGAGATACTGAATTTTCAAGTTCCAGAGCAACAAAGCGATATTGACCCTATATTGCTCTTATTTCGCGCCCCAAAAGATACTAATAGCTGATAATCGTTTACACTTGATTAACGTTCACCTTTTTCAACTGATGAAAAGAAAATTATTCTTCGAATATGTAACACCTGTAAAGACGATAATAGTTCAGCAACAGTTAAAACAGACAACTATTTATCGTAGAAATCGTCATCAAATTGTGCATAACCCATTTCGAACAGTATTAGCATAATCAGTTACTGTTATTTTTGAATGAAAATTAACTCTCTCTATCAATAACATTTGTTAGTCAGTCACTTAGTAAAATTCAATTGCCGACTAGTTTAATCTAGGTGTGCACCAGTACCAGTTAACTGGGTACCAAACCGTTTGGGTATCAAACGGTTAGTATACTAGGCATGCACCAATCCGATAGTCCGGTTACCGAACGGTCCGCAACCCAACATATTCGGCCTGGAAACTTGATGTGACCGAACGTGTTCCGACGAAGATGGCAAATACGATAGTTTATATTTTTCTCATGGGATGTATCGGCGAGCACTTTCGGTAACCGGACTATCGGATTGGTGCATGCCTAGTATACTAACCGTTTGATACCCAAACGGTTTGGTTTTGGTATCAAAAATGAAGAGAGCACTGATCCTTACATGCAGTGAGGTAAGAAAAGATCAATAGAACAAAAAACATGGAAACATGAAAACTATCATACCACAGCCCGTTTAATTTTAAATATTTCTAAATAACTAGCTGCAAAAGAATCTTTGCATACAGACCTGGCTCATACAATAAAATTACAATTACTGGTTGTGTGGTCGCCCTCACAAAACAGTCGAAGTTATTTTCTCTAAAACTTCGAAGTAGCGTGACTCTAGATAGGTAGACGAATAAGATACTTGATTTCTTTTCCAAAAGTGTTGCGATCAGACTCGATTATTTGCATATTCTTATCAAGCTCTTTATATAATTCAGTCAACAAGCACTTCAAACATATATCGTAACCATGTTCATAGCAGTTGCAATACCATGACTCGTCAATGTAAACACTCCAGCATATATTACAGTAATACACCAGTATGACACCTTTTCTTGGTTTAGATCCGCCACTGGCAACCACTGTTAAATGTTAATTATTTAATAAGTTTATTTTAATCAAAACCATCAGCTTTTTATCAAAAAAATCTGATTTTTGACCCCTCCCCCTTCAGTAAAAAGCACAACAGGCATAAACTTTTCAAAATTTTTACAGGAATGCTTGGATGTCACATAGTTAAATGAAAAAGGAAAAAATAATAGCAATTACGAATAGAGTTGTATTATCATTGAATGGATAATTATTGATTACAAGTCTTTTGCAATGTATGTAAGGCAAAGAAAAACTGCCGAAAAAAAACGTCTAAAAATCACGAAAGGAAGCACTTTTTTTTCCTTGGCCGTTAGATCAATATCGTAGTTTTGTATTATTGATGTTCAAGATAAAAGACTTTATTTCAAACTATTTATCGACTTTCCCTATATACCAAGTTTAAATAAACATCTCTTCTTTTAGTTTATAATCGGAACCATAAAAGCATAAAAAGCATTACTATAACGCAAATGATTGTACTACAAGGGTATAACTACGACTAGCGTGCAT